GTCTCCCAGGTCCGTCACTGCTGGTGCCATGTAGCATTTCTATTCATTTGTCTTTCAGGTCTGTCACTGGTGGTGTCCGTCCTTGTCCGTTGGCCATGAAGCATTTCTATCACTGCTGGTGTCCGCTCTTTTCCGCAGGCAATGTAGCATTTCTATTCAGTTGTCTACCAGGTCTGTCACTGCTGTGTCCGCCCTTGTCTACGGCCATGCATTAGTCTCCCAGGTCTGTCACTGTTGGTGTCCGCCCTTTTCCGCTGGCGATGCAACATTTCTATTCATTGGTGCTGCCGCCCTTTTCCGCTGGCCATGTAGCATTTCTATTCATTTGTCTCCCATGCGACTTCTTTCTTTTTGTCTTTCAGGTTTGGTGCCTGCACTGCTGTTTTCTGCCGCGTAACTATCTCCGGGAGTGCATTCCTGCCACACTGTGTAACTCTCTCTGCTTTGTTTTCCTTTTCAGGCAGGCGTTGGATGAATGACCGGATTGGATTTTGGCGGCGTGGCAGCGATCTCTCTATTCAGTTGGGACGGAAGGCATGCATCAGGCACCAAAAATCAATTTCATGTCATATCCTTCGCTCCTCATGCTTCTATTTCTTGTCCTCACGTGGTCAGCTCCTTGTTGATTGAGCAGCATGACCAGCATCATGTTTTGAAGAATAATTCCCCAAGAGGTTTACTGTCAGGGCTTCTCAATTCTTTCTTAAGATGTGTCCGCCCGCTCTGTACTGCTGTGTCCGTCTCTGCCTTGCAATCCTTTACGTTCGTCTCCCAGCTCTGGGCTGCTGTGGCCGCCTCTGCCTTGCAATCCTTTGTCTCCCAGCTCTGGACGTCGCAAGCTCTAGTTTCGATTTTGAAAAAACACAAACTGTTTGGGGTCTACGGTTGTGTAATTTTGTTTAAACCATTTCACTATACTTAGTGACTATATACCTATAGAAGATCCTAGAAGCTAAACATGAACCCTGTTTTGGATAGGAAGTTTGACCATATTTTTGGATCCAAATAGAGGTCACTCCGGTTCCAGGTTTGTGGCTAACCTTCCCTGTGACCTTGCCCACTGGAATGCCCACAGTAACTTGTAGGACAATCTGATCAGTTTAGCCATTTTTTGTGGGTGAGACAAAGATTTCTGCACCAAGCTCGATCGTTGACTGATCAAACTCAAGTAAATTTCAACGTGAACTGAGCGTCCGATGTCCAAATACGATTGGACGGCCCGACGTCCCGAAGAGTTCTGGCGGCCTGTCATGGTCTCATCATCTACATAGTAGAGCACCGAAGAGTTCTGCGCAGGTGCAAAGTGAGGCTTCGCCACCTTGCTGGACAAAAAACAATCTCCGGAGGTTGGCAAAGAAAGCGGCGACCGAAATATCTATTCTTGGGAAACATGTCCCAGCAAGGGAGGTCCAGGGTGTCTTCCAAAATGCACACCCTTGTAGGCGACCATACTGTTAAAATTTTTCCCCACAAACACTTCCCGTCCACAAACATAAATCGTTCCAAAAGAATGCGCCCGCAAGCCACTGGAGAGAAGGGCCGTGGATTCAACGGACCTTGGAGCCATAACCACGCCCTGGAGCATTCTCACTTGAGTGCAGCCGGAAGACGTGAGTCATGGCCTCCAACCTACTAGTGATGGCCTCCAACCTAGTAGCCATGGCCTCCATGCTAGTAGCGAAGTGATATGAGTACAAGGGTGAAGACTTGTTTGCAATCTGCACTCAAACAACTTGCTCCAGTTGGCCATCAGCCATGCAGTCCTTTTAATCTGGCCGGCATCATGAAGCTTGCGTATACAGGATCTCACAGTTCTTCTAGAAAGCAACCAGATCAACCAGTCAGTGAAGAACATGCAGAACCAGATCGACCCTTCTGAAACCAACTTCCCCTGGTTTTCCAAGAACGAACTTGCTCCACCGGCAGCACGGGCAGCACAGGCAGCACGGGTGCGAAGGACTCCGTTTCACGGCCGTTTCACGGTGTTTCATCCCTTCCCGCCGGCACTGGTTTCGGGGGGGCCGTCGTCGTTGCCCCCAGACGCGACCCGTTTGGACCCGAATCCTGCAGGGGTCTAAGGTTTCTCACCATTCCCTAGGCTTTGAGGGATTCGGGTCAAAGGCTGTTTTCACGGAGCGTCTGTGTCTTTTTGTTGGAGCGTGCGTCTGGGTGGGAGATCTTTCTATTTCAGCACCGGCCGCAGCATCCACCGACAGCTTCGACCACAGCTGAGGCATCCGCTGTAGCATCTGCATCCGTGTGGAGGGTCCTTAAAGTCGGTGGGGTACGGAAACCCATGGGATGGATGGGTGGATGGATGCCAGCAAGCTCCGAAGACCCTGGCAGGGCATGGACACCCTCAACAACTTGTGGCATCCTTGATCCAGAACATATCTTCACTGCCAATCCTTACTGCACGCTTGGGGATGAAATGGAGTGAATGGCAGCACAAGAGAAGGGTGAACGCTAGTTTATTTTTTACGAGTAAGGGGAGCCTTCAAAGCTGTTCAAACTATATAATCAGCAAAGGATTTCCAATCAGCAACGCAGTGCTTCCAATGCAGATCGAAACATAGTTCTCGTCTACTTTGTTTCTTGGAAGCATGCACCCTGGTATCTTAATTAGGCATGTTTTGATTTTCAACATCTTCCGATTTGATTCTATACCAGATCAACAGGGGAACCAACCAAACTGACATCAGCACAATTTGCATTGGGAAGGCACTTGGGAACCCAAGTAGCCTCACCTGATTTTGAATCAGGACTCAATCTTTGACGATTCGGGTCCGCCGTGAGAGATTTGCAAGCAGAATTTTACAGTACAAGTGAGGAACTAACCTCATGCAGTCCCTGCAGTTGATCATACCAAAGACACGACTTGAAGTCCTGAGGTGCAGCACTGGGACCAGGGGGGCCATGGATGGGACAGGTCAGACCGGACCGCTTTGCGGATTAGATGTCAGGTCAGACCGGTGCAGCATTGGCCCTCAGAATCCAAGGGACAGGAAGATTGGCTGATCAGGGGTGAGAGGACGCTACTAGGAGCAAAGGGCATCGCTACTAGGGGCTCCTATGGGCTCCTGGCCTTACTACTTGACAAAAGAACGCTACTAGGAGCTTTTTTTCGCGCGCGCGCGCGTGGGGGGGGTAGCCAAAATCGAAGGGTCAATGTAGCTCAATTGCGGGCACTACCTGGGAGGTCTTTCACTACATGCCCATGCGGCATCCAAATACCTTCAGTGGATCCCTAAGGATGGTGGACTCGAGCGAACATGCTTTGGTCCGTCTAGCGTGGTCACGGTACCGAATGGAGAGACTCCGAGGTCCAAAACAAAGAGTGAAGTCATGTTGGATCATGAATTCATATCCCTAACGATCCAGTCGTACCGTACCTCAGGTTAGGTGAGGACGGAGGCACGACGTCATGTAGGTGCCATTGTCGGGTCCAAGTCATTCATATGAATGAAGATGACTCCGTCTGACCTGAAATTGAGATGGTTGGAGTCATCTTGATGGACTCATGAATGGAGAGGTTGGATCCAGCTAGGGCCGCCCGGGGTGGGGTGCCTAGCTGACATCACAAATGATTACAAACAGGCCCCTTCGTCTGCGGAGTGAGGGCGTCACAAGTCACAAGTGCTGCAAGCGTGTGGCAAAAAGGTGGTCACATAATCAATCTGCCCCAGGACCTCATCGGACGTCTGCACCGTTCGAACGAGGCGACGAATTCCCGCGAGAATTCCGGCGACGACTTCTGAAGGTCGAATATCAAAGTGGTCAGGTTTGTACGTACTCTGATTTCCAAATTTAATTTGTACGCATGGGAATCCTTGCGTCTGGCGGCTACGCCCTGGGAGCCCCAAACAGCCCTCACCGGGCAATGAGATTCCCAGTCAGCATTCCAGTGGTTGAACATTATGTCAACGAAAGAATGCCTTTTGTTGTGAATGGTGCTGAGACTTTTCACCGCCTGGAACAGTGGATGGCTTTGTCTGGACCAGAATGGGAATTTGTGTGGAAAAATGTGGAAAACAACTGCTGACGGGTGAGTTTCATGTTCGAATTATGTGTGGCTTTGGCACCTCCGAAGTTTTGCTAGTTGCGCTCACCCAGAGCATCCCCCACAGGTTCTCAGATATGTTTAATGCACGCCTCCTAAGCTCATGAAACCAAGACAATACATAAAGATCCTCCTCATCCAATTATTGAACACAAAACAGCTGTCAATCTTGGAATATTTAAGGAACCTAATAGCAATGGCCTCCAACCTACTAGCGATGGCCTCCAACTTAGAAGCGATGGCCTCCAACCTACTTACACCTGTCTATCTTGGAATATGGTTTTAGTCCAAGACACTAATTTCTTCCAGGGGTTCTGCATGATCTTGGCACACTCATAGGCGGGAATCCTCAGCAACGGATCGCTTCCTCTTGTTCAAGACCACCGGAGATCAAATGCAAAAGATTATTTGCTAAAACATAAATTGAAGCAAATGGACTGCGCATCAACATGTTCAAATATCGTCTACGACGAACAGGGCCTCTCAGTGGCGCCCTCCTCCAACTGCTGTAGCTTGTCGGTGAACATCCAAGATAGAATAGACCACATGATTTGATGGCTTTCCTCTAGAGTGGTCCTGTTTTGTGAGCGGGGTGTCTTCATGCACTGCTTAACCATGGCAAACGGAACCGTGGCTGAATGGCCCTAACAGCAGTCTGGGCAGGGTTTCAGGCTGTGGCTTCAAGGCAAACCCAAACGTCCCGATGATTGTACAGGTAGAAGCAGCTCGAGTCGTGACATGTCGTGCGTCAATGTGTGTCAACATGGCGGGAACAGCAAAGTTCTCAAGAGGATCTAAACGTGTGTTTCGTGTCTGGGAAGGGCTTTGGTTTTTTCTACACATCTCAGTTCCCCATCCGCGGTGTTCCACACTACATGGAAAAGTCCAAATCGGACTCGTTCTCTGGGAGAGCCAAAGATGCTTATCCAGCGAAGCAAAAGGTCTTCGCTACGCTCACAGCTGGCTGGCGTTGTGTTCGCGCCATGTTGGGGTGGAGGAACCAGGCCGAACAACACATGAGAAAGCCAAGGCCCAAGTAGACAGCCACGCCTATCGTGGAAGGTTCACACATAATCACCATCATTCCGGCGGCCCCAGCAGCTGCCCAGGCATTATTCAACGCCAAGACCAGAGTGCTGACAAATATTCCGCAAAGCATGCGCAACACCTTCCCCTTGACGACCAAGGTCAGCAGGTGGTTGGCACGTAGTGCCAGCGGAAATGTAAAGGCAACCAAAATAAGGGGTACAATGACACAGTTTACCACAGCAGTAGTCAAGATGTAGTGAGACACCGACGAGTAGCCTTCAATGAGGGCACCAGAGCAATTTGAGTGACGATCACAGCTGAAAACCAGGAAAACTCCCAGGAGTACGAGCGGCAGATTGGATACCGCGCGCAGTTCCAACGAGATGTCGATCTCACGACCTATCAAGCTCATGACTCTATCACGCAATGGGCCCCTCACATAGGCATTGAACTGGCCAATGACTTCTTCTTCCGTCGGGTAGCTGGTGACATGACGAACGTCTTGCAAAGATTGCTTCAAAACAAGGGGATCCAAAGAATCTGTGTCCGCCTCCGACACCTCTCCCGCATCAAGGGAGACTGACACGGGAGGTTCCAGTGCCTCATCAAAAAGATCTTGCACTAGCCTCTGAAGTACTACCCGATCCGTTTCCAAGGTGCACTGAGCATTTCTCAAATCAAAGGATTCCATCTGATCCAATGTCTGCTTGTGGCCATCAAGCTTCTGGAAACTAAACCAAGCTATTGCGATGCCCATCATCACGTTGATTGCAGGAGGCAGAAGTTCATAGTAGAACCTTGCACACATTGGTATCAGGATCTGGAAAAGGACAGGGGCCCAAACCAAAAGACACTTTAAATGACCACCAACAAACATCAAAATGGTACGGTACCAAACAACTTCTTCAGTTCGTGACCTGACCATTGACGTCCCGACCATTGACCCCTTGGAAAAGGGGATCAATTGAGAGTCACGAATGGAAGAACTGGGAAGAACGCATTCATCCTCAGCCACTTGGACATGAAGAGCGAACCTGGGGAATGTGCAGCAGAATGCCAAACAACCTGTGGTGTTGACAGGTCCCACGCAAGGCTGCAAATGGCCATCATCATGAAGCACGACCAACTCCAAGCTGGCATCCAATTCGGCACGAAATGCAAGGCATCCGGTGACCTGGAAGTCTTGCAAAACACTGCCAGCTCCTGAACGGGACAGCTCCAAAACAGAACTTCGGGAGCCAACAAGGACCAAAAAAACCACCACAAACAACCCCAAGAACCCTCCAACAATCTTCTACAAAACCACATTTAAGGAACGTACAGGGGGTCAAAGACAGATTCAAAACCAACCCCATGCCAAGAATCCAACCATAATCATGTTCTATCTGTTCGTTGGATGTTGCCAATCCATGCGATGTCTTTAATGGCATGCGGAAAAAAAGAGTACTAATTGGCCAAGCGATAGATAGATAGATAGATAGATAGATAGATAGGTAGACAGACAAACAAATAGATAGATACATAGATACATACATCGATACATAGACACATAGACACATAGATACACAGATACATAGATATATAAATATATACATATATAAATAAGACACCTAAGATAGATAAGAGAGACAGATGGATAGATCGAGAGATCAGAAACACAAGATAGACCGGATACACCAAGATAGACCAAGATAGACAAAACAGATCAGATAGATCAGATACTGTAGATAGGATAAAGATAAGACAAATAAGATAGATAGGATAAAGAATGGATAGATAAGATAGATAATAATGATAAGAAAGATAGGATAAATATGATAGACGGGATTGATAAGACAGATAGGATAGATAAAAGAGGTCAATAGATGAGAAACCGAAATAAGATAAAATACGATCAGATAGGATCAGATAAGATCAGATAAGAAAAGATAAAGTAAGATAAAATAAGATAAGATAGGATACGGTGACATAAGACAATATGAGACAAGATAAAAATAGATGAGAAAGATTAGATAGGATAAGACCCACAAGGTACACAAAATGCAAAAGAAACCTAAGGGATACATAAAATACTTTTTGCAATATAGTCGTGATGAAATGTATGTGTATATATATATATACACAATAGCTACAATCACACCACTATAAATTCGCTTAAACTCACACAAGTGCCCCATTGGCTTCTTTGGGTCGGTGGGTGAAACTCAGACCAATACAATCATGGTCTCAGGCGACATCGATCGCAAGGATGCCTGGGACGTCCAGTTGGTGGGGGAAGCAATTCAGTGGCTGCAGAGCTTGGTTCACATGATATCATTGAACAACATTATTGAGATGATGGAAACAACGAGATTATTCATGGTGTTCTATGCTTTCCTTGGTTGCTTTGGCTTAGATGAACTTGACTGCGCATTCACATCAATCTGTGCCACAATCTGTACCACCTTTCTGAGCTTCAGGCAGGGGTGGTGGGCATCGCACCCCTGCCCATAAACAGCGGGTTGGAGCTGCATGCCATCCTACGTTGATGTAAAACACATTTTGGAAAGTCCACAACGGTACAAAAGGATTGACATAAAATGATCAAAATGTTTCAATGTCTGTTGATAACACGTTTTTGTGTCCTGCGAAATGTCTTCAATCTATAATTCTTACTCGCAACATGTCTAAAGCATACAGCCACCGGCCTCAATGTGGGCACAGACATCACTGGCGACATGCTGTGGACTATGGAAGGAGACATTGAGCGAACACCTGCAAACAGAACGCAGTGACAAAGATTCAGTGTGATGGCTTTTCACAACAAAATCAAATCATCACAAAACTGAGGGATATTCACTCTGATGGAAGAATCCCAAATCATCGAATCCCTCAGTCTCTAGACCACTTGCCTGCACCATGGGCCTGTTGGCCTTGCTGTGCCTGAACCTGCAACAAAACAACTATATACCAAAGATATAATTGAATACGTACATACATACATACATACATACATACATACATACATACATACATAC